ATAGGATGGCATGCATGGCATGGCATGGGATGGGATAGGATGGCATGCATGGCATGGCATGGGATGGGATAGGATGGCATGCATGGCATGGTGGGATGGCAGCGCTGGGATGGGATGGGATGAAAAGCACTGGCTTCACTTCATTGATCATGTTTATTCGAGTTATCCAACATACAGCTCTGTGAGTTGAGTGAGGGCCAACTGGAAGGCTAGCAGGAATGGAGGCAGTGAGTTTGTTATGAACATCACTTTTCGGCAACAAGGCGCATTGTGAGTCGAACAAAAAAAAAGCTAGAAGGCACAGCTCTGTGAATGTGTTTTGAGACGTCTCAAAACACTACTTTTATCACGTAGCTGTGTCAGAGTTTTCGGATCGATGGCTGGAATGGAGCCTGTGAGGTTAAGGTGAAGTGAACATGACTCTTTCTAGGTAACGAGGTGGCTTTTGAGTCGACTCAGCAGCTGGAACGTACAGTTCTGTGAGCTGTGTGAGCCCTGAGAGGAAGGCTGGAATGGAGCCCGTGAGCATGCTGTCAATCAGTGAGCTGAGCATGATGGGTGGAGGGGGAGGGCGCAGGGAAGGTGATTTTTGAGTTTGATTCAAGAGCTAGATGAGCTACAGCCTGTGAACATTCTGTCAATCAGTGAGCTGAGCACAGATGGGTGGAGGGGAAATGGAGGAAGCAAAAGCTGAGGGAAAGAAACAATAAAATGAGGGAGGCTAAAGAGTATGTGGGCTTGCCGTGTGATGATGGATGATGCAGGTATGGGGGCGCAAGAGAGCATGCACGGCTCAAGGAGGCATGGAGGTGCATGGAGGTGCATGGAGGTGCAAGGAGGTGCAAGGAGGTGCATGGAGGTGCATGGAGGTGCATGGAGGTGCATGGAGGTGCATGGAGGTGCATGGAGGTGCATGGAGGTGCATGGAGGTGCATGGAGGTGCATGGAGGTGCAGGGAGGTGCAGGGAGGTGCGTGGAGGTGCATGGAGGTGCATGGAGGTGCGTGGAGGTGCGTGGAGGTGCAGGGAGATGCACTGACAGGGAGGGGAGCGCAGTGAGCTGGGCCAGGGCTGAGGGCAGGGTGCCACAGTAGGCCGCCGCACCTGAGAGTACTTTTGAGGCGTCTCATATGGACTTAGAGGCGTCTCATATGGACTTAGAGGCGTCTCATATGGACTTAGAGGCGTCTCATATGGACTTAGAGGCGTCTCATATGGACTTAGAGGCGTCTCATATGGACTTAGAGGCGTCTCATATGGACTTAGAGGCGTCTCATATGGACTTAGAGGCGTCTCATATGGACTTAGAGGCGTCGTCTCAGAACTCTCAAAAGGCATGCAGAGGCACTAACAGAGAGGAGAGCGCTGTGAGCTGGCCGATGGCTGAGGGCAGGGTGCCCCGGAGAGCTGCTCCTGAGAGGCGCCTGTATGGCAGCATGAGGGGATGCATGACAGCATGGGTGAAATGGATGCATTATATTATGAAGCATGGGAGAGATGCTTACAGAGAAGATGACAATAAAGAGTCTCTCTCTGCTTGCAACCCTGTGCTGTGTCCCACGTGACGAGCGATCTTGCATATAGAAGAGATGCAACAGGGAGGTGGGGCACTAGGGAGGTGAGGTGGGGCACTGACAGGGTAGCGAGGCGACGGAGGGTGCTGATGGCGTTGGGAATGGAAGCAGTTCCGTTGCTCAGGTCGAGCGTTCTGCACATTGCGTTGCATCAAATGCCACGTCACGTCGAATGCATGAGATGAGACAAAAGGAAACGGGAGGAATGGAATCGACACAACAGACAAACAACCAAGCATGGCACAGCACAGGGATGAGCAGGCAGTTAGTTTGGAATGATGATGGGGCGGGTTGGGATGGGAGAGGGGGATGAGCTCAGCAGGGAATAAACAAGTGCAAGCGATGAACAAATACAGACAAGTTTTTAAGGGGCCTAGAAAATAGTCACAACTTCAAGTGTGGCTGGTAGTTTACGTGATCAGTCATCAAGACACTATGAGCAGAGGTTATGCAACGGGTTACCACAGTGGAGGGAGGGCTGTGCGGTGGCGCTCACAGGTCTGTGAGGTGGGTAAGGCTGCCAATGGCCGTGGGGAAGGGCCCTGGCAGCCCTGCAGGCACCTGCTCCGCTGTGAGAGTCCTGTCATGTGCGTGTGTGGGGATGGAGGGACGAGGAGGAGGAGGGAGGAGGGAGGAGGGAGGAGGGAGGAGGGAGGAGGGAGGAGGGAGGAGGGAGGAGGGAAAGGGGCGGAGGTGGTTGAGGAGGCGAGGGAAGTGAGTGGCAGTCAGGCAGTAGCAGTACTGAGGGTGCTTGCTTGCGTGTTCTTCACATGCTCATCACTCGCATGCTCCTCACTCTTATGCTCCTCACTCACATGCTGCTCACTCACATGCTCCTCACTCACATGCTCCTCACTCACATGCTGCTCACTCACATGCTGCTCACTCACATGCTCCTCACTCACATGCTGCTCACTCACATGCTGCTCACTCACATGCTCCTCACTCACATGCTCATCACTCACATGCTCCTCACTCACATGCTCATCACTCACATGCTGCTCACTCACATGCTCACGACGAACCCGCCATCATCACACGCTAGCCCCGTGGCGGCATCGCAGTTGCCATTGGCGCGCCACTCGTTGAGGCTCACCCCCCACCCCGCCTGCATCTCCAGCAGCGGGGGAACTGCGGGGAGGCGGAAAAGGGAGGATGGGGGACAGGGGGAAGGATGGCCGCGTCGCTGTCATCCCCAGTGCTCTAGACCACAGGGAGGGCCAAACCTGCGATCATTCAGTCTTGAGGTGCAACGGTGCGCTTTCAGCCCTGTTTAAGTCAGACGATAAAATTACCGGAGCGCGCCGATAGTGGTACTAGGAGTCGGCGGCGTTACTACTAGCAGGACAACTGTCAGTGCGATGCGAGGCACGAAGGACGCGGCGGAAAGGGGAATCAAGAAACTCTTCTAAACGCAGCGCGGCATGATACTTGGCGATGGTCAATGGCAAGCAATTTCCAGTGGAAAAAGAAGGCGGAGAGGCACGCGTCGGGACGAAAGGTTTGCCAAGTGCGTCTGCAGCTGTACCTTGGGACTCGCAGCTGTACCTTGGGACTCGCAGCTGTACCTTGGGACTCGCAGCTGTACCTTGGGACTCGCAGCTGTACCTTGGGACTCGCAGCTGTACCTTGGGACTCGCAGCTGTACCTTGGGACTCGCAGCTGTACCTTGGGACTCGCAGCTGTACCTTGGGACTCGCAGCTGTACCTTGGGACTCGCAGCTGTACCTTGGGACTCGCAGCTGTACCTTGGGACTCGCAGCTGTACCTTGGGACTCGCAGCTGTACCTTGGGACTCGCAGCTGTACCTTGGGACTCGCAGCTGTACCTTGGGACTCGCAGCTGTACCTTGAGACTCGCAGCTGTACCGTCCGACTCGCAGCTGAACCTTGCGACTCGCAGCCGGACCTTGCGACTCGCGGCGACTCGCAGCTATACCTTGCGATTCGCAGCTGTACCTTGCGACTCGCAGCAGTGCCGTGCGACTCGCACCTGTGCCGTGCGACTCGCACCTGTGCCGTGCGACTCGCACCTGTGCCGTGCCACTCGCAGCTGTACCGTGCGACTCGCAGCTGTACCGTGCGACTCGCAGCTGTACAGTGCGACTCGCAATTGTACCTTGCGACTCGCAGCTGTACCGTGCGACTCGCAGCGACTCGCAGCCGGACCTTGCGACTCGCGGCGACTCGCAGCTCTACCTTGCGATTCGCAGCCGGACCTTGAGACTCGCGGCGACTCGCAGGTGTGCCTTGCGATTCGCAGCTGTACCTTGCGAGGAGTCAATGAGGACGGCGAAGGAAGTGGGGAGACGAAGCAGGAGGAGCGAGGCGAGCAGAGCAACTTCGTGCGACAGGTAGTGGTTGCCACGGCGACGGGACTCGGAGCGCTTTCGGACCGCGCTGCGCGAGTGTGAAGACCCTTGACGCGCGCAGGGATAGGGTTGTACAGCGGGGAGCGACCAATGAGCCATGCCGCGTCGTGTAGCGCTCAACCCGAAAAATCTTGGCATGAAAACGTGTTTTGGAGCTAATAACGCTACAATGCAACCTTATTCGAAATGCTCCACAAAATGCGGCGCGAGATGTGCTTGATTGGACAGGAATAAAGAGGTGGGACCCCGATATGTTGTATCTATTCTTCAGGATTAGTTGCTATGCTATTTGGTTGTAGTGGTGAAACAAGAAATGGAGAGCGAAAGCAAGAACAAGAAGAAAGTGGCGGCGGCGAAATGACGGAAATGGTGATGCCAGGCTCGGAACAAAACGAATCGTGTGGTTTGGTTTGGAAGTAAGCAGCTGCCCCCTCGGACTTCATGTGGAAAAACCAGTTAGTATGAATTTCCAACTAGTCCTGAAACGTGAGCGGGCGGGTGTGTGGTGTTTGATTTCTAAGCGCATTTGATCCTTAGCTCGATCATGAGTTTCATGAGTTAGGTTCTGGCATTTCACATAATTTTGGATCTTGGAGCGAAATCGGTATGAATTGAAATGTTCATCGGTGGCGGGAAAACCAGAAACTGGCATACCTGCTGACAGTGATTGGGCCTGATCTGAGCTGTAAGGTCCGGTTTGTGCTTCGGCTCGCCTGCGAGCCTGAGCCCTTGCCTTGGCTCGGTTTCTTTCTCGCTCAAGCGCGACGGGCTCAAAACAAAACCAAAGAGTCAGCCTATTGAGCGGCTCACTAATAATGACCCCTTTCAGTCCTCGTGTTCAGTATTTCAATCTGCAAATCAGGGATGCTCAGACCTGGTAGTAGATCAGGCATGGTCAAGCGAAGCAAGGGTGGGTAGGTATCTTCCACAAGGCAGGAGCAGATGGCGCTCAGTGGCACAAAAGCCAGCTTATATCCAAGCCATAGACGCGCAGGATTCGCTGTCGTGATACATTCCCATAAATCATGTGTACATTTCCTAGACCACGCACACAAGTTAAACTGCTTCTTTCCCAGAGCATGCAGGGTTTTGATGTAGCTGCTTCATCTGCACATCAGGGTGGCAAAGGCCGGCACAGGTGGGCATGTCCCAAACAGCCACAGCGGTGGGCGTGCAATTATTTTGGCAGAGAGGCCAGCTCATCTCGTGCGACACATCAAAGGCCAGCATCCATGCTCCCACAGTCACATCCTCGTTTAAGAACATCCTCAGCCTGCGATTGTGACAGCAACAAGACCAATGACAGGAGAGGAGGAGCTGGGTTGTAAAATCAACTAGCAACCCTGTCTTGCAGTTCCCCTATTGACTCCTAACCCTTGGAGGTTCTCCCTTCAGCTACTACCTGTGCATTATATCAATATGTCAACCAGAAATGGCTCACTTACCTCAATCAACGACAGTGATGCCTCATTTCAATCGGAACTGAAACATCCACAACTGACCTGCCCTTGGGGATGGAGTTGAGAATGTTGACCACGTCGTAGGAGAGGGCGTAGATGGGGCCGTAGGCATGCAGGAAATACTCCGACCCCACCAGCCATGACTTGGGCTCAAACCTGCACAGGACACGAATATTATTAGTAATAATTATTATTGCGCAAGAGAGGAGCAGAGAGGTCATCCCCCTCGAGGAGGCATGCAGGAAATACTCCGACCCCACCAGCCTTGACTTGGGCTCGAACCTGCGCAGCAAAAAAAAAGGGGGGGAGGGGGGGAGGGGAGGGGGTTGGGGGTGGGTAGGTAGCGGAGGGGAAGAGGAGCGGTAATAGATGAATCAAGGGGCATGGATGAGTTGCATGGTTGTCAGGAATAGCTCAAGGGAGCAGCAGAGGAGGTCATTCTCCTCGACTGGATCAAGAAGTATCAGGAGAAAATAGAAAGGCACGATGGCTGCAGACGCGAAGTCCACTGTATGTTATGGGCTGAGAAAGGCGCCAAATTGCACGTCAACGAGCGCGTGTAGGCGTAACATGGCAACTCACCACTTCATTTTAGGGTTAGTGAACACAGCTCCCTTCTTCAAGCAACCAAGGTAGGTTCGTGGTGACTTCCTTGGCCTGGCGATCAGCGAAGAGAGGCGGTCTGCAGGGATGCAGAAACAGGCAGCAGAGGATGGGACTCACTCGTGTGAGAAGGGAACGCTTTTGAGACTATTGAAATGCGACTCGTGCGAAAAAACGAATTCTTTATGAGACACGCTCAACGTACGAACATTATCACAGAACTTGGGAAGAAATATTTAAGGGCGAACCTGGTCTCAAGTAGATGTCGTCGTCTGCCTTGACATAAAACTCGGCTTCATAGAGCTTGAAGAGAGATGTGAAGTACACGAGACTGGGGGATGCGGGATGGGGGATGCGAAATTACGAGGGTAGAATGGGAATGGGGCGAGGAGAGTCAAACAATTTATACGAATACATACCTATATACACCTATTTTATACATACATCAAGCAAGCCAGCGAGCACCTTACGTCTTGTGGTTAAGATTGAGATAGGCCTCATCGACATTGATGCGAAGGAAATCCCCGTGAGTTCTGTTCTCCACCTGCAGCATCTGCTCGTCCACTGCACTCCTCCCGTGCCCGATGATGAAGCGAAACACCAGCCCCGTTGCTGCTTCCACCCTGGGAAATTTGCATAAGAAGGAAAGTAGACGAGGAGAGGGGGGAGGAAAGGTGGGTAGGGATGCACAAAACAGATGGCGTGGGTGGCGCAATGGGAACGGTGGGCTGACCATCTGACCTCAGGACGCACAGGGAACAGGGGACTGACCACTACCATCTCACTTCAGATGCTGCATCTTCCATCTGATTACCACCACACCTTCACCCATGGCCTGTTTTGAGGCACCTCCAAAATCTTCTATCTGATTACCAAAAATATTGATTTCACCCGCATCGGCGACAAGGGTGCAGGCCGTCTTATCCCATGGCCCACCGCTTGTGGTCGCCAGTTGTGGTGAGGAACCACGTGGACGGGAACCACGTGGATGGGAACCACGTGGATGGGAACCACGTGGATGGGAACCACGTGGATGGGAACCACGTGGATGGGAACCACGTGGATGGGAACCACGTGGATGGGAACCACGTGGATGGGAACCACGTGGCTGAGAACCACGTGGATGGGAACCACGTGGATGGGAACCACGTGGATGGGAACCACGTGGATGGGAACCACGTGGATGGGAACCACGTGGATGGGAACCACGTGGATGGGAACCACGTGGTTGAGAACCACGTGGATGGGAACCACGTGGATGGGAACCACGTGAATGGGAACCACGTGGATGGGAACCACGTGGATGGGAACCACGTGGATGGGAACCACGTGGATGGGAACCACGTGGCTGAGAACCACGTGGATGGGAACCACGTGGATGGGAACCACGTGGATGGGAACCACGTGGATGGGAACCACGTGGATGGGAACCACGTGGCGCATGAAGCAGCGGCGAGTACCACACAGGGGGGGGAATTCGTCCCGCCCGCCCACCACTAGCGAGTTTAACTCAGAGCAAGGGCTGCCTTCCTCACTCACACGTGTGGGAACCACGTGGCGCATGAAGAAGGAACAGGTCAGTACCAAATCTGCCGCTGCAAACAGCGGGTGGGTGGTGAATTCGTCCCGCCCGCCCACCACAACCGAGTTTAACTCAGAGCAGTGGCTGCCTTCCTCACTCAATATGCCGTCCTATGCTACTCAGGGCGTGCCGCGTGTGGCCCTCGCGCGTCACCGGAAGCCACATGCTGCGACGATTACAGAAAATACCCTAAGCAGGCTGGGGTGAGACGTCTGTACACAGGGGGAAAGTGAGCACTGAGTTATGACGGACATCTCAACACTAGTACTGGGAGTTATGGCGGCACAGGTAGCTTCTGAGTTATGCGATGTCTCGAACCAGTACCAGGTTACCCGTAACACCCTTGTGCTCTAACGGCGCGGCTTTCGCCACTCGTGGCCTACCGCGCGTGCTCCTCGGGCGTGGCGGGGAACCACGTTTCGCGAAGCAGCCCGCGTCTACTGCGGCTGCCGAAACCGGTCTGCACCCCGACGAACCCCAGCATGCGCTTCCTGCCCGGGTACCGCAACCGATCTTCACTCCGCTCGTCCACCAATCGCGGGTCTGCCAACGGTCCGACCGCCGCGGTCGCCTGAACGGGCTTTAACGCGGCTGATTTACTACTCGACCATGAGGGAGAGGAACAGCTATATCTAAGAACAAGGATCTCTGTAAGGAAGAAAAACGGGACGGCTAGGACTATGAAGAGGCAACGGAGATTGGCGGATGCGAATCTGCTGTGGGGAGTGCAGCAGAGGGACCAGGAGACGCGCCATGACGTCAGCACTCGCGGCGCGACGGATGTTTGATCCTTTGAGCCCATCAGCGGGTGAAGTTAAACGAATCTGGAGCTACCATCGCGGGGATGAGCGGTGATGTTATGGGAAAATTATGAGACAAGTATTTTGGTTACTACGGCCGTGGACTTGCAGGGTTGGAACAACAGCAGTCGATTATGCGATACAAGGCAGCTCGATGAACAGCTGTGCAGGAAATTGTGCAGTAAGCTTAGGTACAATGCAATCAAAGGTTTTGCCAAATAGCTTCCAATTAACATAAATACATGCATAATATATAAATATATTTTTATTTATATAACTAAACCATCTAGTAAGCAGGGGAAATTAGAAGAGCCCACCACTCCCTGTACATTTCATTGGTAGATCACACAGGATGCACGAATTCTTTCCCAGAGCAGGAAGGGTTTTGATGCAGCTGCTTCATTTGCACTTCAGGCTTGCAAAGGCCGGCACAGATCGGTATGTCCCAGACAGCCACAGCAGAGGGCGTGCAGATATTCTGGCAGAGCGACCAGCTCCTCTCATGCGTCACGTTGAATGCGAGCATCCATGCTCCCATCGTCACGTCCTCGCTCACAAACATCCTCAGCCTGTAATGCAGAAAAGAAGGCAAAAATTGGAAACTACTAGTTAGAGTTCAAGTTGAGGAGCAATTTTTGGCAGAGAGCATTCATGCCTTGCAGTGACATGCATGCCTTGCAGTGACATGCATGCCTTGCACTGACATGCATGCCCTGAAACGCATGCACGACATGGTTAAGGAAAGTAAATTTCACCTGCCCTTGGGAACGGCGTTGAGAATCTTGACCACGCCGTAGGAGAGGGAGTAGATGTTGCTGTACGCATGCAGGAAATACTGAGGCCCCAGCAGTTGCGAGTTCGGCTCAAACCTGCCAAGATCAAAGCACGAGAAAACCAAAGGCGGAATAGGTCAGAAATGAATGAGTATGAGGATGAGAACAGCAGAAGCAGTTGTTTGTCCGGCAAACATTAGGACACATGAAATTAGTATGGGATGGGACTGCGATAGAAAGCATTAGGAACACTGGGAATACACAACTGCTTTGAAACCTGGGTACACCGTATGCTGCTGCATGGGCTAAGAAGGTTGCCGAAAGAATTGCCAGCAAGCGTGATCTAGGTGGGTGTATTATGGGAACTCACTCGCTCATGTCAGGGTTAGTAACCACGAGTCCATTCTTGAAGCATCCCAGGTACGTTCGAGGTGACTTCCTTGGCCTGGCGATCAGAGAAGCGAGGCGCTCTGCAGAGACGGACAGAAACAGGCAGCAGAGGGCGGGAGGGGACTGGTGTGAACAAGGACCGATACCACCAGAAACAGGCAGCAGGGTGGCACTGGTGTGAGCAAGCAAGGACTCTCTCAATGCTGCCCAACATATTCAGCCACATCGTGTATAAAGGGTATTTTTGAGACGTCTCATATTCAGCCTCAAAATACCCTTAATACACATGGCATGAGCAAGCAAGGACTCTCTCAATGCTGCCCAACATTTGCAGCCACATCGTGTGCGCCGCGCGACGACTCTCAGTGTCGTGTCGCCAGCAACACATGATCTGATCCTCCTCATCACCTTCTTCAGAAAAAGGGGACATTCTGCAGCAGCACAGAAAGCTTTTGCAAAAGCTGCTGTGACTGACTGCTGTCAGGTGGATCAGGACTGCTGCACACACAGCAACAGTCACAGCTGACGCCGCACACACAGTCACAGTCAGGCAGATCTGGCTGACTTGAAATTCCGCGCCATAGCGCTTGGGTTGTCAGAGCACTTGGCTTCACAGAGCCTGGGGAGATGTAAGACAAGGCGCACCTGGTATCAAGTAGAACAGAGCCCGGGGAGAGGTAAGATGGGCGCACCTGGTAGGAGGTAAGATGGGCGTACCTGGAATGAGGTAGATGTCGTCGTCTGCCTTGACGTAGAAGTCGGCTTCATAGAGCTTGAAGAGCGACGTGAAGAACACGAGACTGGGGGATGGGGGAGAAGAAATCATGAGAGCAGGTGGAGAATTGAGTTTGACAATACTGGCAACAAAGAAGGTACTGGGGGATGGGGGATAGGAAGGCACAAGAGCAGGTGGACAAAGGATGTTGAGGGGAGTTTGACAATGCTGCTAACAATGCTGTAATTTTTTGTTAACATACGTCTAGATAAAGAATAGTATCACGAAGCTATCAAGGCAACAAAGAATCGCATGCGGGGATAAACGAAACTCCACAGGAACTACACCAGGTATACGGAAGATGGGCGGAAGGCACAAGGAAGGTACGAGGAAGGTACAAGCATAAGGACCTTCAGATGCAGCAGAACGTGAGGAAAGAAGCATAACGGCAGACAAGATTTCACTCACGCTATCATCGAAAGAGCCACTCATGCCTTGCGATTTTTGAGGCGCCTAAAAAATCGTGAGGAAGAAGCATACAGCATTTCACTCTACCATCAACGAAGCCAAGTGTGAGTGCCAAAACACGGAGCCACTCACGCCTTGCGGTTGGAATGAAAGTTCGCTTCATCCACGTCGACGCCAAGCAAGTCCCCGTGAGTGCTGTTCTCCGCCTGCAGCATCTGCTCGTCCCCATCGCTCCACCCATTCCCGATGATGAACCGAAACACCAGCCCTGTTTCTGTTTCCACTCTGGGAAACATGCGATTGGAGGAGGACGGGGAGGGGGGAGAAGGGGGAAAAGGGGCAGAGAGGGCGCATCACATCACAGCGCATCCACCGCGGAAGGGGGAAAGGGTGGGAAAAGGTGCAGAGGGGGCATCACATCGCAGCGCAGAGGGGGCATCACCCATATCAACCGGAACACAAATCACATCCAAAGCACGTCGCAACACGCTCCCGTGTGCCCGATGACGAACCAAAACACCAGCCTTGTTCCTGCCGTGCCAAACCAAAACACCAGCCTTGTTCCTGCCGTGCTGAACCAAAACACCAGCCTGGTTCCTGCCATGCCCAACCGAAACACCATCAGCCTTGTCGCTGCTTCTACCCTGGAATCGGAACACCAGCGTTGTCGCTGCTTCCACCCTCGGCACACACCAAGGTGGCGGGAAAAGGGGGGTTGGGGGTAAAAGGGGCAGAGAGAGAACGCTCCTTTCCTCCTCGTTCACCTCGCTCCTGCCGTGGCCCAACTGAAACACCAGCCGCCTTGTCGCTGCTTCCACCCTGGGAGACAGGCCAAGGTGGTGGGGTGGGGGGGTAGGGGAAGGGGGGAAGTAGAGAGAGGGCACATCTCGACTCGACCATTATGCTCCTGCCGTGCCCGATGATTGACCGGAACACCAGCCTTGTCGCTACTTCCATTCTCGGACTCACGCCAAGGTGGTGCGGAAAAAGGGGGGGAGGCAGAGAGAGCTCATTTCATTGACCACCCTCCTCCTGTGCCCGGTGGTCGACCCCTAAGGAGGGAAGGGGAGGGGGGACAGAGACAGCTCATTTCATTCACAACGCTCCTCCTGTGCCCAGCGGTGATCGACTGGCGGAACCAGGCCTGTTGCTGCTTCCACGCTGAGATATACGCTTTAAGGGGAGGGGGAAGGACAGGGGAAAGGACAGGGGGAAGGACAGGGGAAGGACAGGGGGAAGGAGAGGGGGAAGGACAGGGGGAAGGACAGGGGGAAGGACAGGGGGAAGGGGCAGAGAGGGCACAATCCCATCGCGTTGTATCACCTCCTATCGTGTCACCTCCCATCGTATCACCTCCCATCGTGTCACCGCGCTCCTGCCGTGGCCGATGACCAAACACCAGCCCCATAGACGCTTTCACTCAACGATACGCATCACGTTGACCCCACGACATCACGCCTCTAACCCATGCCCTCACACCCTGCCCCCACGCCATGCCCCCACGCCATGCCCCCACGCCATGCCCCCACGCCATGCCCCCACGCCATGCCCCCACGCCCTGCCCCCACGCCATGCCCCCACGCCATGCCCCCACGCCATGCCCCCACGCCATGCCCCCACGCCATGCCCCCACGCCATGCCCCCACGCCATGCCCCCACGCCATGCCCCCACGCCATGCCCCCACGCCATGTCCCCACGCCATGTCCCCACGCCATGTCCCGAATGACATACCGCGTGTGCTCGTCGGGTGTGCCGGGGAACCACGTCTCGCGAAGCAGCGCGCGCCTCTCGCGGCTGGAGAAATCGGTGAACACCCCGACGAAGCCCACCACGCGCTTCCTGCGCGGGTACCGCAACCGATCTGCACCCCTCTCGGTGTCGACCATCCCTCGCGGCAGTTCCGCCTCGTCCATCCCTCGCGGCGGTTCCGCTTCTTGCATCCCCCCCGACGGTTCCGCCTCTTCCAATCCGCGCGCTTCCGCCTCGTCCATCCCTCGCGGCGCTTCCGCTTCTTCCATCCCCCCCAGGTCCGCCGCCGAGTCGTCCATGCTCCCTCGCAGACTCGCCAACGGTCCGATCGCGTAGGTCGCCGCAACTCCGCCAATGGGCTTTAAGTCTTCCAACGAATCGGATTCGATCGCCGTCCATGCCGCGGGAGCGAGGCAGCTGTATCTGAGCACGAGGATATGTAACAGGAACAAGAGCGGGACGGTTACTAGGAGTAGGACGAGGGACCACGACACGCGCGGCGATGACGTGAGCGGCACACGCGGAGATGGCGAATATCTTATGAGGCGACTCGAATACCATCAAGAAATGATAGCCGCCGTCAGCAAACGGCCTTATTGAAGCTTTCACCGGGACAGACATTCTGAGAGCAGTGGCCAACTTCAAGTTTGGGAAATAATAATAATAATAACAATAATAAACACACAAAGACTTGGATCCGAGCAGCCATATACCTGGAGCACCGGCTGACGGCGAGACGGACCCGCCTCGTCAGTTACTGCAGCCACCAACCCCTTTGCCCCATCTACCATTAGCGCTCGCCGGCCACCGTCGTCAGTCCCACCATGTGCGTCAGTCCGGGATTGGGAGGGAGGAATCGAGGTCGATAAGGTCAAGCGATTAGGCAACTTGGAAGGTCTGGTCTGGTCTTGCTATATGAAAAGCAGACAGTGAAATGACAACGCGGCAGTGTGTTCTGATCTGAAGGCCACAACTCGCACATGCGCAACGGTCTCAGGTATCTGATTATAGAGAGAATATAATTTGCGGTAAACTCCGGGTGTAGAGGTCGTTTTTTTAGCAGAAGTTGCACATATTTATCATAGTATGGTCATAGAGAATCTCATTCAGCCAAAATCTTGTGATTGTCATGAGTTACCTTATCCTTCTCACCATCCCACATACCGCCTAGAACATCGCTTTCCCACCTGCAAACAATTGCTTCAGGTACCACCTCTCAAGATTTTGTCAGTTCTGTAGCTAAGTGGCATGTCCGGCAAAGCCACACCAGACCAGACATGCACTTTTGCCAAGAAAATAACATCAATAGACTTATTATATCATACAGCACAATGGCAGCAGTAGAAGATGGATGGCATACACACTTGTATTCTGTGGGCACTTCCTAAATCAATCACACACGGGTTAAAATGTACGTGTCCCGGAGCACGAGGAGTTCCGATGTAGCTTCCTCATCTGCGAATAAGGTCGGCAGAGGCCGGCACAAATTGGCTCCCAGAGAGCAACAGCATGGCGCGTGCAGTCCTTCTCACAGAGAGCCGTGGTTTTCTCATGCACCACATCAAAGGCGAGCATCCATGCTCCCACTGACACGTCCTCATTTGTGAACACGCTCAGCCTGGGATCATGAGAGTAAGGAGACCGGAGATGGGATGGGAGAGCAAGAGAGTGGGGTTTTGAATTGAAGAACGGCAAGTTATTGCAGTGAATATGCTCAGCCTGTGATCATGAGCGTAAGGAGACCGGAGATGACTTTTGAGTCGACTCAAAAGTCAACACGTTAAAAGCGAGCATCCACGCTCCCACTGACACATCTTCGTTTCTGAACATGCTCAGCCTGCGACGATGGGAGTAACGGGAGCAGAGATGGGAGAACAAGGGAGCTGGGTTTCAAGTTGAAGAACAGCAATTTATTGCAGTGCGTGTACTGGATCGTATTTGTTGAGCAGCGTGGAGCGCGACAGCCACTCCATTGCAGCGCCTCCCTTTTACCAGTAACATCACATCCCACCTCATTACAAGATAGGCACAGCCCTCCTTGTTACTCAAGGCATGCATGACCCACACACTCTTGGTGAAAATCTTGGAAAGACATGCATGACTCGATAACTAAACGCATGCATGCCTTGCCCTTTCCTTGGGGATGGCATTGAGAATATAGACCACATCGTAGGAGGGCAAGTGGATGGTCGTGAAGGCATGCAAGAGATGCCATGCACCGCCCGCCTCATTGCAAGACAAGCACAGCCCAGACAAGCACAACTCACCCGTCCTCGGGGATGGCGTTGAGAGTGCTGACGACGTCGTAGGAGAGGGCATAGATGGCACCAAAGGCATGCAGGAAATAGCGTGATCCCAACAACCACGACTTGCGCTCAAACCTGCACAGAACACAACACAAGAAAACAAACACCGGAACATGCGAGGGATGAGTACGAGAGCAGCAGGCGATGTCGTCTGGGTCGGCTGCAGTCAGCAGGTTAGGGATTGTTGCATTATTCACAAAAGAGTCCTAGTTCAAGTGCGCTAAATGTCACAATAGGAACATTAGAAACACATTAGGAGATTTACAACACAACAAGAACGCTAGCACGATTTGACTGCTTAAAAGAAGTGAGTAGACCGTATGATGTATGGACTGAGAAAATGGGCGTAAGGAGTGCCATCGAGAGTGGATTTGATGGCAACTCACCACTTTACATTAGGGCTAGTGCCCACTGCACCCTTCTTCATGCACCCAATGTAGGTTCGAAGGGACTGTCTTGGCTTGGCGATCAGAGAGGCGGTCTTCAGGGGGCACAAAAACAGGAAGGATGGGTTTTGTGTGAGCAGGGACTTTCAATGTTGCGAATAAGACATAATCGACATCATCTTTTTTAGAAAAGGAAAAGAAGAAGAAAAAAAGATCATTCACAATTACCCATCTGCCTGACTTAAAGCCCTGCTTCATAGCACTTGGTTTTGGGGACGTCTTGACTTAAAACCCAGCCTAACAGAGCCCGGGAATAGGTAAGCTTTAGTAGAGTGTGCGCATCTGGTAATCTGTTATCAGAGTGGGCGCACCTGGTAGGAGGTAAGATGGGCGTACTTGGTATGAGGTAGATGTCGTCGTCTGCCTTGATGTAGAACTCAGCTTCAATAGATCTTGAAGAGCGACGTGAAGAACACGAGAATGGGGGAAAGGGAAGAGAAATTCATGAGAGCACAATGAGGAAAGGAGTGCTGAGGGTTTGACAACACTGGTAACAAAAAAGCTTTTGGATTCTGGAGACAAAAAAAAATGTTAGTATTTTACCTTTGGATAAAGAGAAGAAGCAACCAACAAAGAATAGTAGGCAGCGGAGATAGACGAACTTCCAAGGAACCGCACCAGGTATGTAGAAGTGGCGAGGAGGGTAAAAAAACTGTGAGTTTCATATGCAGCAGCACAACACCACGTGAGCGAGAAGCACAACAACAGCGAGCACCTGATGTCGCCATCACGCGAGTCGCTTACGTCTTGCGGTTGAGATTGAGGTACGACTCTTGCACGTCGTGACTTTAAGTCAACTCAAAAGTCACCTCGTTACAATGCCACATGCCCCCACGTCTTGTGGTTGAGATTGAGGTACGACTCTTACACGTCAATGTGAAGCAAGTCCTCGTAAGTGCTGTTCTCCACCTGCATCATCTGCTCCAACTCCGGGATCGCTGGTGCCCCACTATGAACCGAAACACCAGCCCCGTTGCTGCTTCCGCGCTGGAAGGAGGACGTGGAGGTGGGGAAGGGTTACAGGGAAGGAGGGCACGACACATATCTAACTTAACTTCCACACTCTATTTTTCGCTGTCTTCCGCACTTGAAAATTTTGCGAGGTGCTTCCACACCCAGAAATGCGTTTGAGGGAAGGCGAAGAGAGCCTGCCAGGCACCTCCCATCCATCCCATCCCGTCCCCTCCCTTCCCATCCCTTCGCGCTCCTGCCGTGTCTGATGATGGATCTAAACACCAGCGCCATCGCCCTTCCGTGCTGCATTGCACCTCACTCACATAGCCTCATACCCCTCGCCCCCACCCCATGCTCCCCCACCTTCCCCCGCTTTTCCCTTCCCCCCCTCTTCCCTCTCTCCCCCCCGCCCTCCTCAACCAAAATGCCGTACCGCACGTGCTCCTCGGGAGTGCCGGGGAACCACGTGTCGCGGAGCAGCCTGCGCCTCCTGCCGTTGCCGAAACCAGTGTGAACGCCGACGAACCCCAGCACGCGCTTCCTGCCCGGGTACCGCAACCGATCTGCACTCCTCTCGTCCATCCATCGCGTATCCACCAACGATCTGACCGTCGCGGTAGCCGCTGACGTAGTAACCGGCTTTAAATCAGAGTCTAGCGGCATTCGACCCGAGTCCTGCGACACTACTAGATTCGAGTCTCGCGGCAATACATTTGTGTCCTGCGGCGTTACATCCTGTCCTGCGGCGTTACATCCATGTCCTGCGGCGTCAAATTCGTATCCTGCGGCATTAGTAGATCCGAGTCCGGCGGATCTAACTCCGAGACTAGAAGTAGCGGCTCTCGTCACTTAGATTTATTTGTCATCCATGGGGAAGCAAAGGGGCAACTGCATTTTATAACGAGGACATAAAAAAGGGCGAAGAGCGGGACGACTAATAGTAGTAGGAAGAGGGACCATGACAAGCGCCATGCCGCCGACACTCGCGGCGATCGCGGCGCGACGAGCGACTGAACCTTGAAGCTCATCTGCGGGTAAGGCCGTTTTACTGGTTCTTCCACGAACTATCGGGACTGAGTTTTCTGAGAGCGAATCGAGGGGCTACTGTGGCTTCGTGCTCTAGAGGTTTTTTTTTATCTCGTTTGGGGAAAACAATGGGAAGAAAAAGAACGGCCGTGTTCGATAGCGAGGGTGACCCTGCCAAAAAGTCATTGAGGTAACCCTGTTTCTTGGGCGGGAAACGGTTTGCGACTTTTGCGACCCCCATACGATTTGTAAAAATTCCCGCCAGCGCGAACGATCTCCCTGCGATGAGACGAGTTTCTCGCCCTCGCGAACGACTCCCCCTGCGATGAGACAAATTTCCCGCCCACGCGGGAAAACAAGGCGGGAAGTTCAACCAGAGCATTTGACTCCACAGCGCGCCCTAACAGTAACTCCCGATGTAATGATTACAAATTTTGTGGGGAAATCAACAGACGCTTTCCAAATGGTTGCTGCTCCTGCTTTTCAAGTAAGCCACTTCATTGGCCCTGTTCTATAGCAATTCGGCAATAAGCCCCCCACCATTGTCCAAGCACAACGGTGGGAGCATAAAGACAAACGGTGCTCGTTCGGCACCGCCGGCAGCGTAATGATTGAAGCCGACTGCCTGCCGGCTTCTTTCTGCAGGTCTAACGGCCGAGGTGTTCGGAAATTCCACATCAACGGCCAATTGGTGTGGAAACATTCTGTGCTTTTTTTCTGACCCGGGCCCTGGCGGAACCATGGTCAGCGTCAGAAAAAGTATCGCAATCAAAATATTCGATCTGAAAAATATATAGTGTTTTACATAGCGGTTCCAAAACGAGTGAGCTGTGTCCCAAGGAGTGGGCATGCCACTGGTTTAGACTTTTATTTCACCTAACATATCCCTCAATACCCCAACCGACAGAAACCGTTTCACCTTCACCGAAAAGTAGAAATGGCATTGGTGTGGTAACAGAGCGGCGTTTTGCCCGAGAGGAGCTGTGACGAGGATGTCATCATTGGGCGAGAGTCACTGTTAGGGCGCGCTTCGGCGTCTGGAACCATTGTTGAACTTCCCGCCTTGTTTTCCCGCGAAGGCGGGAAATCCGAGACATCGCAGTGGGTTCGTTTGCGCTGGCGGGAACTCGGACTCGTCGCAAGGAGTGCCACGTAGATTCCCGCCCAATTCTCCCCACCGTTTCCAAGTTTTCTTCTTCTCGTTCACCCTGCTATCGAACAGGGCCATTGGGTCTTGAAGCAGGGCTGGAAAACGTTTTTCCAGCCCAATGGAAGGGTGTAAGAAAGGGTTGCTGACATGCCAATTCCCTATAACACTCATCACATGGGCTGTAACAGATATAAACCACTTGGTAAAATTTTCTTTTGACTATTTTTGGTCGTAGAAATTTTCTGGACGCAGACCGTGGAAATTCGTTTCAGAATCACTAGGTAAGAATGATGCATTGAATGGGAGAATTGGGTACAAGTAGCAAACCCTAGTTGGGGTTGTACCCCATATTGGCTACCCCACTACAGCCTACAAGCATAATACAGTTTAACACACCCCCATAGGCAAAGTGGGGGAGAACAAAGGGTCACAAGACCAGTCCAGCAAAGCAAAGCAAAGCCCAGGGTGGATCACAACGTCACCACACTCCGAGCACAAGCAAAGGCCACAAGGCCAGTTCACATGCAGTGCTAGATATAGTGCAAGACAAGCAACACAGTGATCAATACCTAGCAAGCAAGCAACAAGATATATATAAAGTACAGTACAAAGACTGTCAAGCAGTGAGCAAGTGAGGAAACGTGGACACAAGGCCTAAAGAAGTACAGTGCCGCTGATGATCACTAGGCGGGAGTGCCTTGGTGAAGATATCAGCAGTGTTGGCCTTCGAGTCCACGTACACAAGCCGAAGCTGACCGCGCTGCTGAAGCTCTCGAGCAAGAAAGTAGCGAAGAGCAATGTGCTTCGTCCTGTGCTCCAGTCTGTGCTCCTGACACAAGGCAAGAGCCGCCTTGTTGTCACCGTACAGAACTGGAGGAGAACTAGGCCGCTCTCCCAAGTCAGTCAGCAGGTAGGTGAGCCAGCGTAACTCCTGTGCAGCCATGGCTGTGGCGTAGATCTCAGCCTCACAACTAGAGCCGAGAACAGAGGAAGAGCGGGTGGACCGCCACGAGACAGAACCAGAGCCAAGGCTGAAGGTGTAACCCTGTGACGACCGCTGCGTAGCCAGGTCGTCCACCCAAGAAGCGTCCGAGTGACCAGTGAGGACAACTCTGTCGCGTCCTCCAAGCACCAGCCCCATGCCTGATGTACTGCACAAGTAACACAGCACCCTCTTAGCAGCCTCCCAGTGCTCTCGCCTGTGTCTCCCAGGCGCAACGTAACGAGCAAGGATGCTAAGAGGGTACGCGAGGTCAGGTCGCGTGCAAGTCATCAGGTACATGAGGCAGCCTACAAGCTCTGGGTACGGGCCACTCGGCTCTACGGACTCGTCCGAAGGTGGAGCTGAGAGCGAGTGGCTGGTAGCCAGAGGTGTGGCCTGTGGTGAGGAGAACTGGAAGCCGAAGCGCTGAAGGACCTGCTGCACCATGTGTGACTGAGTCAGGGTGATGGTGCGGCGAGCTCTGTCCCGGGTGATCTGCAAGCCAAGGTAGCTACGCAGTTCACCCAGGTCAGTGCAGGTGTGTCTCTTCTGCAGCTCCGACTTCACACGAGCGAGTGCCTCAGTGTCAGCTGTAGCGAAGACCAAGTCGTCGACGTACACGAGAATGTAGAACGGCGGCAGCGACGTGTCTGTGCGCAGAAACAGCGACGGGTCAGCAGTAGACGGCGCGAACCCAAGAGCCGCAAGTGTAGTCCTCAGTGTGTCGTGCCACTCACGAGGCGCCTGGCGGAGACCGTAGACTGGCCGGCGGAGGCTCCACTGGGTACCAGGGGGAAACGACCCAGTAAAGCCAGGTGGGCGGCGCTGCGAGCAGGCAGCGCGGCAAGCGGGCTGCGAAGCGGGCAGCGGGCGGGCGGGCGACGCTGCAAGCGGGCAGCGAGGCGGGCGGGCGACGAAACGGGCAGCGGGCGGGCGGGCGACGCTGCAAGCGGGCAGCGAGGCGGGCGGGCGACGCTGCGAGCGGGCAGCGCGGCGGGCGGGCGACGCTGCGAAGCGGGCAGCGGGCGGGCGGGCGACGCTGCGAGCAGGCAGCGCGGCGGGCGGGCTGCGAAACGGGCAGCGCGGTAGGCGGGCGACGCTGCGAGCGGGCGGCTCGGCGGGCGGGCGACGCTGCGAGGGGCGCGCGAGGGCGCTAGCGAGGGCGCGCGAGGGCGCTAACGAGGGGCGCGCGAGGGCGCTAACGAGGGGCGCGCGAGGGCGCTAACGAGGGGCGCGCGAGGGCGCTAACGAGGGCGCGCGAGGGCGCTAACGAGGACGCACGAGGGCGCTAACGAGGGCGCACGAGGGCGCTACGAGGCTAGGGCACGGGGTAGCGTGGTAACCGCATGCGAGCGGTGGTGGGCCCTTAAAAAAAAACGGTCGGTAGGTCCTAGGGACCTCCTGCTCTGATACCATTTCAGAATCACTAGGTAAGAATGATGCATTGAATGGGAGAATTGGGTACAAGTAGCAAACCCTAGTTGGGGTTGTACCCCATATTGGCTACCCCACTACAGCCTACAAGCCTAATACAGTTTAACAATTCGTTCCGCTTCAATCGACCGTCGAGTTTCATGTATTACACTTCCTTCCGCCATTTTCGTTGCAGGCAATGACGTGGCACTAATAATTACATTGCAGTCGCTTCTTTCCCTACAATTTGTCCTTTTTTGTGCGACACCTCTAAACACCAAATGGTTGCGTGGTCCGCAACCATTTGGTACACCCTCTTTCGCGCTACACTGTTATTGGCTATACTGGTTGATCAGATGTACACCCATCAATGCGTACAGGATGTTCCCAGAACGTACCATACAAGCTCGTTCGCCGCAATCAGCCGTACAAAAAAACAAGGTTTCCTTTTAAAACCGTTGTGTACCGTTCACTGGGAGAGCATTTGCCAGCCACATACATGGGAGTTCGGATGTAAGCACCAGCCCGCTAGGTTCCAAGCAACAGTACGCACTGTAGCTAGTGCATCCCATTGCCGGTGTAGCGCGAAAGAGGTGTATCGAACAGAGCCAACGTTTTCGGTCCTCGCCATTGCCCTTCTTTATTTCCGGCAGAAATGGGTTTGCGCTTATATGCAGTAGTATTGTACCCTACTGCCACTGCCTCTGGTGCTTTATCGATGACCTTTTCACGTACAGATGTTCTGGCTTATATGCCCTTCCTAAAAGAGTCCCATTTTCTCATCGAATAATTTTTCACATAAGTACTAGGTGTATCCCCTTCTTTACAGTCCCCTTTTTGGCGGGAAATCTTGCATCTTGACTGAATCATTGCACGAATCAGTTCTGCAGCCAATCAGAGGACGCAAATCGAACCAGCCAGAACATTCACGGAAACTGATAAGGAGAGAAGTTTTGATTCCAGATTTACTCTCGCATTTGCTATTGTTTGGTTCTCTTGACCTCGCTTGCGTCAAAATCCCGTCGCGCAGTTCCCAGCGAGCTCGACGATGACATCTCAATAATATCACTTTCAGGGCAAAACAAAAACTAT